AGCCACCGCTTCAACACAGCGTGGGCACTCTCCACCCTACATGACGTGGTGTTACCCAAATGCAGGAAGTGATTCGTCCACGCTTTGACAAATTTTTCCTTGTGGACTAACCACGTATGCTCTATATACTGTGTAACAAGAGGGAACACCTTGTACCGGTGGTGCATGTCATTCACGGCAGAGTCGTACTCGACCACCGTGCTCACTTCCAGGATCTTCTTCTACCTGCCACGCGTGAACTTAGTGGCGATATGAGTATTCTTCTGGCTGAGATTATAGACCTTGTGTTCCCCATCCTTGTTGATGTGCCACGTGCAAAGAAGGTGGGCAGACGTTGGAAAATTAATTATAATAGGATTAATCAACCCCAACTCCCTGTCAGTGACAATGACTGAAGGATGTACATCAGGCCCAATCAGATCTCTCAACCGCTTCAGAACCCAGTCATAGTTGTTCTGGCTCTTGTCCTTCAGAATTGCATATGCAATCAAGAAGTTCTTGTTGCACGACATCATCCTTATTATTTCTACTAACGGCATCTTGTACCTAAATCAAACAAATAATAAAAAAATGTACATACTCAGACATAATAATTAAAATTCGTACTAAATTGTTATTTATAAAGTAACATACCTGTTGGTTTTGTACGTCAAATCTATACCGACGTACCAATAATAGGTCTGAAAGAGAAGGGCTGCCTGGGGATGCGACATGAACACACGTGTCAAGGTGTGTGTGTCCTTATCAGAATCGGTGAAAATTATGTAATTAGCCCAGCTAGCCAGATGCATAAGCTGGGAAGTCACATCTCTGCCCCCAAAACTTTCTGATCGAAGTTTAGCTCTATAGTTGTAAACCTATTCACGAGTCACGTTGTCAGTCGGGTTTTTATCCTGTTTCGCTGCCAATGTTACTGTCAGTTTTGCCTGGGCACCTATCATGTCACGGACGATCTGCCTCGACGAATCACTCAGTTCGCTGAACTGTCGATGACCCTCGGGATACAAAGCCATCGGATGATTATGGTATCCCTTCTGATCATCCTGAGGAAAACATACACTCCAGGAATCTTTCGTACAGGCCTCTTTTTTCAATCTCATCTCAAACAGGCATCTGGTATATTTTATTTTCGAATGCCTCAGGACAACACTAACAACATTGAAAATTTTACCTCGATAACGTTCCCCTCGGTTACACTTCAAAATCTTCAATGTTCCTCCATTTGTGTGCTATGAAATAATTAGTTCTAAACCACAGATAGCTGCCATACCTGTTGCATAATTGACAGCTTCTGTAAGACTATCAAATATCTCATCTGTTCTGAAGTAAGACCAATAATCAATATTGTCTCCTCCAAAATCTTCAACTGGCGCCTGCAATATATTACAATGTATGTTACCAATTTTAAAACATAATCAATTATATGTAATCATTAAAAATTAATAATTTATATTAATAATATAATATAAATTAATAATTTATTAATATATTAATAATATATTATAAATTAATAATTTATATTACTAACTATACATTATTATTAATATATGTTTAATATTATATTTTTAATATATATATATATATATAACAATACATTCTAAACTATTATTATTTTTAATAATATATATTAATTTATATTACTAACTATACATTATTATCAATATATGTTTAATATTATATTATTAATATATATATATATA